TAACAAAAAATCTCGAATTACAGTTGAATGATAAGTAAAAATAGGCAAGAAATAGGCATATAAAATATTAACAGAATCTTGGTTTATATTTGATCAGCATTGCCTAGTTTTACAGCTTGATCGGAGCTAAGTCTGAGTTTGTTTTTGTGCTGTCAGGCATATAAAAGTGCGCAAGTATTAGCCCTAGAGCCAGGAAATCCTTTATTTTGCCTATGATTTTCAGTTTCACCTCAAATATTACCTCAGTTTTCTGATTTCTTTATCATCACATGACTGAAAAACATTAATATAAATTAAACTAGCCTACATGAAGCCCAAATCGGACAAAATGCCCAGCTTATGAGCCAACAGTGGTACAGATTTAAATGTCCACACCCTCGTGACTTTTTACAGCAGATCATAGTTCACTTGCCTATGAATGGAATCTTTCAAGAGTCTCTGAGACAAAGACCAGGCATGAAACTGAGGACGTGATAAATGTTTGAGGTTACAGTAAGTTTCCTTTTATGACCTCTTCAGTTTTTCCTGCACTGAATGTGCAAACAGCTTTTCAGTGAGATTTACTGTATGCTCTGCGACCTGCCCGACCAATAAGCATCTCTCTGCAGCTCAGATGTGCAGCACGAATAACCAAGTGCTTTGCAACTGCAGAGCTCCAAACAGTAGACTGACTGTAAAGAAGCAAATGTGTGCTGCGTGATGGGAAAGAGCCTCTTCAGAGTGGACTGCCAAGGTGGAGTGGGGTTTCTGGCTAAAGTGCAACACACATGGCACAATCTTCTCCCAAAGAGCTGATTTTATACATCATTCTGACCTCAAGCGTACTCTGTACAGACCCTGGCATTAAATAACATTGGAAGTCAAATCGCTGTTTGGGAATGCTGACTTTGGAGGTGCAGGCTTTGTGATAAGTAACCAGCCTGACCACACAAGTAAGAGACGACAGGTGTGTGTGTGTGTGTGTGTGTGTGTGTGTGTGTGTGTGTGTGTGTGTGTGTGTTCGGAGAACAGGAGCCCTTTAATCACAGAAAGGCCAAGTGTTCCACTTCCCTGCATGGCATCCATCACCACAGCCCAGTTCTCCCTGATCCCTCCATCTTCAATCCCTTCTTCCTCAACCCTCCACTGCCTCTGTTGGCTCTCCACTCCAGCCCACCAACGCTACCCCCAACTCCCCCCCCCCCAAATACACCCTCCAACGATTTCTTGCCAGTGAAGCATGCCACCGAAGCAAAGCTCCTTTTCCTCAGGATTTATAATCCCAAGGGCTCCGGCAAAAAGGTGGCTGAAAGAGCTCTTTATAAAGCCAGGGGCAGTTGGTGGCTCACCTTGGGATGGTCACTACACTCAGCATTAGCTCGAGGATCATATGCAGAGAGACGCATTTCTGCTGGGTCACGTTTAATAAGATAAGATATACTTTACTGTCCCAGCAGGGAAATGTATCCTGTGTTGCTGATCAGCCACCAAAACTGACTCTGACAAGCTTCTTGTTGAAAGTAAACACAATCACATTTGCAGCTTGCATGATAATGACACGAGATACTTCTCCTATAATCATATCAGCATTTCATAACCTGATTACATTTGACTGCTCGTGGTTCACAGTCTGCAGACTACAAATTACTGGACTGCACTGGTGAGCTAAGTGCTTCAGCAATGAGCCACAGTGACCTAACAGGAACCAGAACAGAAAATCAAGCATCTCATTTCACTTCTTCAGCGTTTACGAATCCTGCTGGTCCTTAATAAACAGCTGCAAAACATGAAGATCAGACAAACCCTGGCATGTCATGTAAGGGGAAACAATGGACCCCAAGCTCATTTTAAAACAGGTGTTAAATCGTGCAATGCTGGCCAAAAACACAGGTCCTACCATTGTTCCAGCCAAGCATTTCCAAAGCAGACACAGTGGGCCTACGGGGCATAAATTAACACGATTTACTTCCACAGCCTGTGTCACCAAAACGCAACATCATGTGTGGATGCTGGAAGCAAACATGTCTCCCTTGTTTGCGTCCAACAAGGTGAAATGCCTGGTTGAGACACAACTAAGTGCAGTGAAGAGGACCGTTGTCTGTCACTGACACATTGTGGGTGCAGCTGTAAATGTCACCTGCTGAATATTGTACACATTATAGTGTAATGGGCGCTAAAAATATCAGGTTTATTGCAGACAGTATCTTGGAGCTGCTGCTGTAAAAATGCACCTTAACCAAGGAGAGCAGGGAGCGACTTGGAGTCGGACGTTATTCTTGAACAACCTGTTCGAGACATGTTTCCTATACAATGATGCCACTCGGCCACAGAGACCCTTTGTGTATACAGTCCATGTATTCAGCATCACACTGAGCTACTCTCACTTCTTTCATTAGCTAACGTTAGTTAGCTAAACCGGCCGTGTACTAACAATAGGACCCCCTGCTCGCTGCGGTGTCTAACGTCTGATTCCCTAACTGGCCGTTAGTAACGTTACAAACCGCTAGCGTTGACGTTAGCTACTCAGCTCTTAGCTCACTTTAATGTCGCTAGCCGACTCACAATCAGGCTACCACCGTTTCTGGCTACATTAGCTTTATTTAGAGGCTTGAGACGGCTAGCTGCTTCGCTCGACCACCACACAGTTCACAACAAACACCGCCGCAATGACAAGTCGCCCACTCCCGAGCACACACGGCTGAACACTGCGCCTCTTCTTTCAGCGTTAGTCCCTTAACAGAGAGGCTCCGGAGCCGTTACAGTCACATAAAATGGCTTACCTTTTTAATGTGTCTGCCGGCAGCCCACGGTGATGATATGAGGTGGTAATAAGACTTAAAATCCAGGGGAAACCGCGAGCGGAGACGTCGTTGTGTTGAGCAGACTGGAAGGATTTCAGCTCCAGCGCACGAGCCCTTCTGTCGCTCTGCCCACTTGCAGAAAGCGAGTGACACGTTAGGGACCGTCTGCCTGTTAACGCCCCGCAGAAAAACGTACAGGCCGATATTGAGCAGTGGTGGAAGTACACTTAGTCAAGTGCTGATTTGAGGTACTTGTACTTGAGTATTTACATTTCACTTTATATTTAAGTTCCACTACAGCACAGAGATACATGCTGTACTTTTTACCATTCTACATTTATCTGACAGCGTAACTAGGGCCAGGCAATACATCAATATTATATTGATATCACCTTATATTTTGGGTAATGTGATGTATATATAAAGTGATGTAATTTTCCGAACTTACCAGACTGTCCTTGTTGTTCTGCTTTTTTCATTTACCCACTAACATCTACATTTTGTGAAAGCACCAATGGTTAACTCTTCAATATTTTTGGAATATTGACATCAAAGTTTTTAGTCCAAAGTATTGTTGTATTTGGTTTTCTTCATAGACTTCTTAGCCTTACTGTTAACATTAATGCAAGTACAACTACAGTACTACAATTTGATAATAATTTAAATTAAGCAGCATTTTCAATACAGGGCTTTAACTTATGACATATCTTTTGGTAGTGTTACTTGTCTTGTAGTGTTACCATTTCTTGACACTTCATATTTTAATTTCATTACAATAAAGAGATAGATGTTGTACTTTTTACCATCCTACATTTATCTGACAGGATATGTAAAGAAATAAGATTGAACTACAAATTACCTCCATCTTCACCAGCTACACAGTAAAATACTGCTAACTAGGGCCAGGGCCTGGTTTTAAAGGCTGCTTTACAGTGAAGTGATGTAATTTTCTGAACTCATCAGACTGTCCTTGCTGTTCTATCATTTGCAATTACCCACTTACAGCCACATTACTGATGATTACTTACAAAAATCTCACTGTGTAAATATTTATCCATCCATTTTCGTAACCACTTATCCTCCTGGGAGCCGATCCCAGCTGACATTGGGCGAGGGGGTACCCCCTAGACTATCACAGAGCTGACACATAAAGACAGGCAATCATTCACACTTGAGGACAATTTAGAGTCACCAATTAACCTGCATGTCTTTGGACTGTGGGAGGAAGCTGGAGTACCTTGAGAAAACCCATGCTGACACAGGGAGAACATGCAAACTCTACACAAAATGGGTCCCTCCTGGGATTGAACCAGAAACCCTTTTGCTGTGAGGCAACAGCACTAACCACTACACCACCATGCCACCCTAAATAGATCATTTAATGACATCATGATATGCCACAAGTTGTATTTCATCAAAGTAAAAGGCAGACAAAAAAATCGTAGATAATAGACAATAGAGACTTGTAAAATAGTTTCAATCTAAATACATTTCACTTTATAAATACATTATTTTACTGACTTACATACCCAAAGCCTACTTTAATCTTGGATGACTCTATGGTGGTTAAATATTAGCCACAGTGATTCATGTGCAGTCACAATTGCCACATCAAGGTGGTTAAACAGAAGAGGAGGACAAAAAAAGCAGGACGGTCCCTAACTCTATGCTCATGCTATGCCAGACCAGTGAAAGCTTTGTGTTTACTGCCATCTGCTGGTTCTTAGATGACACACGCTCCTCCCTTGACTGGGCAACAGGCCCATTGTGGTGCTGAACACCAGCTCAGTTACTGAATCATTTTGGAAGGCACATTAGGTTGTGCATTTAATAAAGTGCCAGAAAGTAAAGCATTGCTCAATAATTTAGGGGCATGGGTATTTTTGTCTTGTTATGACATGGAAGTGTGTGCATTTTCTTCAGCTCGTTATTAATATGGAAATCAATCTAAAGTTACATGTATCCAATGTTCAGTAAGAAAGGTGAATCTACCACACAGCATGACACACCTAAGATGACTTTGCACGTATTTCCATAAACAAATCAGCAACAACGCATTTTTGCATCTGTGTTTTTCTTGGAACATTTGAACAACATCCCACAGTAACAGCTTGATTTGCAGGCAGAGACACATCCAATATCCATTCTCTCGTGCAGCTATACCACACTCATACATCAACGAGATAGCTTCCGGTGGAAAAAACAACACAACACTCAAACTCAGTCTCTGAGAAAATAGATTTATTATTCAAATAAGCGACATATACACAGTGGATTCATGGTTCTAATCATCAGAAGGAATATGAATATAGTTGAGCTACAATCATTTACAGAAATATTAAGTTTATATTATTATTACACAGCTCCGTGGGGCAGGAGGAGTCCTTTGATGACATCAATAATTCACATTCATATTATATTCAGACATATATAATTTACTGTACAGACATAAAGAGCTGGAGGCGGAGGAGAGCTTGATTCCCACTAAGGCACTCATGATTAAAATTACATGACAACACAACAGCTTGAGTAAACTTGTTTTGTTTGGGTGCTTTTCTCTTTCATCATAAGCTGATTCATTACATTGAAAGTATAATTTTAATCTGAAATAGACTGATAGTGATCATTATGATACATAAACTGTGGTGTAACACTCATTCAGTTGTTGTGTCTGAAAGAGAAGGAGGGAGACACCATATTTCTAAAGTGTACAAGGCTGACACTGCCCCAGTAAAAGACAAAGTACTTTGGCTGAAACACATTCTCAACATTAATTCAACACTGCAATGTAATAGCTAATACAACATATCCACAGAAGACAGAGGACAGGTCATATAATCAAAATCTGCTTTATGGATCCCTCCTATTACATATGTCAATGCACAACATGAAATTATTTGGGTTTGGTAAGCAGATTAACTGTAAGTAGAAATGGGTAGTACTTCAGTAGAGCTAACATCAGCTGTCTGGTGATCTCCAGGTTGACCTTTTGTTAAGCCCCACGACCCTTAGTTACTGTTGCTACGCCTGTCAAGCTCTCTGTACTTGTACAGCATGTTAAAGTAGATAGCAATCACAATCACTGCTCAGGACAGGGGTTTACAGTCAATTGACCTTTCCTAAGTCCCGCCCCTTTTCATTCTGTGCTCCAATGACAGTTGTACAAGCTTGGTACCCTGCAGAACCTCAGTCACCTTTCCTGACGAGGGCTGTAGAATTACAACATCCGTGCCTGTCATGTGATGCCATTGCAACCAAAAAGATTTTTTCCGATAGACTCATGCTGTGGAAGAGACATCTGTAACATGATGGCTAAAATTTCTTAAGCATCCCCAAGCCCCTCGAAATAATTCATTTCACTATTGGGCTTTGATCAGGGGCTGATTTTGGGCTTTGAGTTAGTGCAGCATCTCTATATGGGCCAACGATGCAGAAGCAGAGCGGAAGATCTAGATCATTTTCCACATGGAAGTCAAAATTTTTTGGGCTTTATATGTCACTGAGCGACTCTCAAAGAAATGAACAGGGCCCCACCTCTAACGCTGTATCCAGTTCTCTTCATACATAGGCCACATGGGTCTACATAGTTATGCTAGGCGCTAGGCTCGTCTATGTTGAAAGGAAACCAAGTTTTGAAGACTGGTAAAGATGTGGCTAGGGGTCACATTACATTGGAGTCACCATCCCCACCAACATACTACATTGTACATCTTAGTTAGCCAATGTTAAGCTAATTAGCTAGCTAACGTATAGCTACACCAAGAGGAGCTAGCCTAATTTCAGATCACCAGTGTCAGCCAAATTTGCTTCCTCCTTATTTTCTGTGGTAACCTTAACGAGATTTGGAAAAAGACAAGATAGGTTGGTGGTCGACATATCTGACATGAATTATCTTTAGCCAGACCAAGGCTAACGTTCATTTGTTTATATTATCTTTGTAAGGCTATGTGCCACTGTTAAGAATGGATACCCGCACTGCTGTCTGGCTCTTGAAGGTATATTGCCTGACACCAGGAAACTATTTAATACACACTACGTCACCCAGCGAAATGAATCAACATCACCAGGTTTAGGCCTATTTCTGTTAAGCTTGTCCGACCTAGCAACTGCAACTAAGGGGAGGGTGGGATTTTCCATTGGTTTCCATTTAAAATCATGCTATTATTTGGGGCAGTATAATCACCACAGCCAACCATTTCAGCCTCTTCCATTTGTTTATAGTCAGTATTATTACACAGGAATAAGACTTGAGATGCTACACAACAACTTTAGAAAATGATGAATCATTCGTCCTTTCTTTGAGACACATGTCACTGTGCAACACTTAACCACCTTCCAGCACACACGTGTTTAAAATGACTCATCGTTTGTAAATGCTGCATGTTAGAAGTATGATTTAGTAAATTTTCTAAAAGGCGGGAAAGGTACAACAGTGACTGTGGTAGTGATGCGTTCACTTTCCCAACCTCTTAGCAACGTCCTTATAGGCCAGCTCGATTTCGATATCAGCTGCGCACGTGTTGGTGAACTCATCTCGGCTGTAGGCGTTGCCAAGGTAACGCCACACCCCTCTGAATTCAGATGGGATGTCATAGTTCCGGTATTTCTTCGCAACCACCTGCAGAAAAAAAGTCATTGTAATAGTGTGAAGACAAAATCAGATTAATCAAAATAAATCCAACCAATGTTACCTTGACGACATGAAGTTTGGGCAGAAGGTTGCAGTCAGCCAGCGTCAGCTCATCTCCATCCAGATATTTGCGTTTGGATTCTCCCTCGCCACTGTGGCGTCCAGTCTGGACGTCATCAGGTAGTGGGCTCAACAGATACTTATCCAGCTTAGCCAGGGACTTGTCTAGACTCTTCTCTAGTGCTGCGACACACATAAAACACAATCCAGGCCACAACGTCATCAAAACTGATAAACCAGGTATATGGACTACAATGGTTATGCTTACTGGATACAGCGTGTTTACCTCGATGTTTATCCGGTCTTGTGTTTTTGACATAAGCGGAGAACTTGGCAAATATGTCATTTCCTGCTGTGTTTGACTCATGATTCTTTGCTGCAAGTTTGGGATACCTAAGAAACAGGAACATGGTGTTAAATAGGATGTTTCTCACCCTATTTCCTTTTCCTGCGTGTGTGTTTCTGTGTGTGAGGCCTACTTTGGTGGAGCCAGCATCTCCTCCAGATACTCCTCTACTTTGTTGACATCAGTGAGAACCTCCCCCTGGAAGGTGAGGAAGGGCGGGTGCGTCCCTGGGGCCAGGTTGTGAAGGTCAGCCGGTTTCCTGATCAGAGTGGAATCACTTTATAACCTCTATTATAAATGTGTAATAAAATACTGTTTCAATGTTACAGTTATAGTGAACAAATGCTCCTTTTTGTCTTTTCAGCCATGTTGGCTGTTGCTACTAACACTGACTACCTCAGGCCTCATTTCCCTGCAAAAAACTACTTTTTTAAGTGAAGCGTTTTTAAATGTGACCCTTTGAGACTTTGTTCATTACCTCCATATATTTCTCAATGCGGCACTTGGAGCCAGAGCATAATTAAATGCACATCTTAAAGCTGCTCTTAAGCTATTTGTTAGTTGTTTAATAAAACACTGAGGTTTTGGGTGTTGTATGTACGTCCATGCAAAACTTTAAAGGAGCTCTATTTGATATTCAGAGCGTATCTATGATTCAGAGGTTGTCTGCACACGGCTCTCAACATGGAGGTGGCTGAGCCCACGGCTGGCAGCTAACGGCGCTAACAGTGTGTACAATGCTAACAACGGCAACAGTGCTGACAGAGCTAACTGTCAGTATGTTTACATGCAGCTTGAGAAAATTGAATTACTGGCTTAGTCCAACTGAAACCGGACTTTTAAATGTACGTAAACAGTTTAGTCCGAATGAAACTGGACTATCCGTAGCTATACTAACACACCTAGATAATTTGATTGAAAATCAAACTATTGCTGCATGTATCCACTTAGTCCGACTGGAGTCGGACTTGGCGTTCTGCACACGCACCACTTTTTCTTTCGCGGGCTTTCAGCCAGAAGAAGAAAGAGATGACGTAGCAGCAGTGCAGTAACTCCCTGAAAAACAAACACCATGGCGACCGAGACGCTGAAGACGTACTTCTGGACGGAAGAGGAAACTACATTCATGCTCAGACAGCTAAAGGAGCTAAACATTTTAAAGTTTATGGATGGTCGGAAAATGCGAAACGCGGATTTATTTAAAAAAGTTTCTGAACAAGAACCAGAACTAGTTCAATACTCACTATATTAAAAAGGACACAGCGCTGCCTATCAAGGCAGAGTCAGATGAATTTGGTCAGAAATTCGATTTTCTCTTCTGCGTGTACACTCAGACAAGACGAGAAGTCCGACTTGACTGATTAGCCAAGCTATGAGCTTAGTCGTACTGAGTGTCAGGTGGGGAACCAGAGGGTGGGCATTGTCATCTCATGATATATAATAATAACATATATATATAATCATATAATAATGAAATAGGAATAGTGTTTGTTGGTTTCAGCTGAAAATACTGGGAGTGATTTTCTTTCATCCCTATGATAAAGATAAAAAACATATGATATAATATTATTATTACCTCTTGAGGTCAACAGTGGTGACATTGAAGACTACGCCTTTCAGCCAGAGGATCATAAAGAGGCGCTGAGAGAAGGGACAGTTTCCGATGCTCTCCCCATCACTCCCAGCCTGTACACACACACACACACACACACACACACACACATGATAAGACACTAATACTGCAACAGAAATGGAGACACACAAAAACATTTTCCATAGCCTAATAAATGCATACACTCTTGTCAGTGCAACACACAAACACAACGCACACACTCCAGACAAATGACAGAACTCAATCAATTCATCAAGTCACACACATTGCACACACACACAAAAAAATCAGTACCTCTTAGTTAGGAGTAATGGGTTTGTTGTTGGTCTGTGTGTACATATGCACATTTATAACTGGCTTATGATGCAATACAGTAGCATGAATATGTGTGTATACGTGCTTGAGTGTGCGTGTTTGTGTGTGCGTGCATAGCTGCAACAGGACACTGTAACAAGACACCGAGTCCAACATGAATAATCCACGCTGCTTCCATTAGTCGCCTCACTGCCTGCTGCTTGGACATGTGGTTCCTACTGTACAATACAGCAGCAGTGTATCAGCTATGGAAATCATACAACCCACTGTTGCCAATCCAAGAGGCACACAATGTCAGAGAACTTAAAACATGAGCATGGTCTACTATTTCACATAGCCATTGCTGTCCATTCATTTCAGTACAATATGAAAGTTAGTTGGCAAAGTCTAGTATCCAGTTCTCACAATAGAGTGCTGCAGGAATGATGTTTATTTGTAGGCCAGCAGGGACGTTAACATCGCTCTGGTTCCCTTGACCAAAATCCTGTGGTATTTTTCCACTGAAGTTTGAATTATTGTAGAAAATGAGGTCTGTGGCAAATTTTTGTTCAGCAAGATCTTTACAAATGAGCACAACTTTTATGATTCTTTAAGTGTAAAAGCAATCACCACAAGTAAAAAGCTAATGTTAGGTTATAAATGAACTACACTACTGTCACATGATTTCATCATCACCACCACGACAAGGCTGTGAAGCTGTGTTGTGGTGGTGATGATGTTCTGTAGTCTCATTTAGCCACTTGTTAGCAACCGCCTTTTTTAGGACAAGAGAGTTCAGAATTCACAAGTGGGATATTTATTGTAAGATTTTATGGTGTAGAACAAAAGTGAAAGTCTCATGGGTGTTAACCACTGACCTTATTTCAGGCATCTAACCAAAATCCCATTCAAAACATCCGTTGACTTCAAGAAGAGGGAACTGGGAACTCATTTCCTGGAATTAGGACTCATTCCTGCATCACTCTATATCCAGTGTTCAGCCAAAACAGAAACACAAATTGCTAATTTTTTACACTTTGGGTTTTTTTTTGCACAGATTAGACCAATAAGATCTATCTTGTAATTTAGTTAGCTTAAGATGTGATAGAAGTGAAGGAGTATGCTAAGCTAAGCTAACAAGCTGACTGTGGCTTTGTATTTAGCACACAGGTATGAGTGTGCTATCAATTACCTCATCTAACTCTCTGCAAAAAAAAATCTAATTTTTCAGCATGATGTAGGCTGGTATGCTATTAAACATTTTAAAAGTCTTGTTTGTTCACTACCAGTACATTGGCAATCTGCCCTACAAGTTTAAGGTTAAACATGTAAATAAGTATACATACAGTAGTATTAACTGGCTTTATTCAGTAAATGACTATAAGAGAGCAATATGTTGCACTGTATTCGTCAGCAAACAAAAGGGACGTGCTAAAACCTGTGGCTAAATGCACATAGTCATACCTTCACATACATACCAACACATACTGTATCATAACTTCAGACCATTTAAAACTGCTGCTCTCACACTGAAAGGACCCCAGTAATAATTCATTGGGGGAGAGAAAGAGAGAGATTGTCCATGCACGTGGGTGTCAGGTTAACACATGGAAAAATCAGCACACAACAACATGGCATGCACACGCTTAAAGGAGCCACCTCCCAACACACGCACACTTTATAGATTATAGTGTGCATATGCAGCTTATTTTTTACTTGACTTATTAAAAAAACACAACTACTAAAGGCAGGTAGGAGGGAAAGTTTGTCCAGAATTGTAATTTATAAGTGAGAAGAAAACTGATCTAGTGTCAGTTTGTGATGTGCACAAACTGAGCCAATACTGACACACACACACACACACAAAACTCCCCACCTTGACAAATAGCTCAATATCAGGGTCCTTGTCCTCCTCGGCTGCAGTATCCGTCATGGTCAAGTAAAACACACTTTGCTTGTGTGTTTGTTTTCCACAAGTGTGTAAGTGTGTTTCTGTGTGTGTGTGTGTCAGTTGTGTCAGTTTACAGCAGATTCTACTCCAGGTCCATGCGGTGAAGTCCGCTTGGTCCCATAGCAGCTCCTGTCAGTGTCAACCGAGGACGAGTGCCAGAGGGTGTGCGTGTGTGTGTGAGAGGTTCAATTTGTACCCGAGGCCTCAGCAGTGGGGCGTGACAGTGTCGGGCAAAAATAGCCCCCTTGTGTGGGGTGGGGTTGTCACTGAAAGCATTAATGTAGTGACGGGGGGGAAAGGGCAGAGCAAGTCACCCAAGGGTGCCCTGCCCCTCCCGCCTCTTACAGCTCTGATTGACAGTACAACCAGCTGACTTTGAATCATCGAGAGTCATCGTCTCCTTCTCACACTCATCAGCACCCATGGGCCCCGTGCTGGGAATGCTCAGCCTGCGATGAATGTGTGATGAATGAATGTATCTTACTACCAGGTATTGCCGTATCAGATATATTTCTTCTGATCCCAAACAAATATTAAAAACTCATTAATGAGCCACATGGTTGCACTTGCTGACATGTAACTTCATTGCGGGGAACCTGGGCATTGTAGTTTATTTTGAGTTGATCCCACAAGCACCAGATGCTGTAAATACTCCCTAGAGCACCAAATGTGTTTTAATCCGCAGCTGAAAATAGTCCCCAGCAAATGCACCACTTCCTCCTAACTGGTTAACGTTTGCTAGAATAATTCATAAAATAATGAATAAGTAATGTCAGTACCACTTTCTAATAAAGCCATAAAGTCATAATTATTGACTTTATGATAGTTAATACATAACTGACAAATGCTTTTTAGAACCCAGCTGGCATTTGATGTCAGTATGACATAAAAAAGACGTGGACGCATATGTTGGACAGATGTTAAATTTTGTTCAGAATGAAAATCACGCTGACAAGAGATTAAATGTCTCACAACGTTAGAATTTCACATGTGGACGATAACATTATGAGGTTTTGCAGATGATGGGCTGGCTTACGACTTATGACGTCGGCATGAGATGTTTGGAAGACACTGGATTTTGGTCACTCAAGAAAACAATTTAAAACCAAGAAATTGTCAACATTCTGTCGTCAGTTTTCAATGTCAAATTAACATTGACGCTAAATTCTGGGCACTCAACGTTATGACCAAATATTAACAATGTTGGTGGCTAGCTGGAAAACTATCCATAAGAATAACTTTTGGGTCGCCAGGTTGGGGAAAATCTCCCTTAAGCAACACAACTGCTGTGTCTTTTTAGCTAGCTCTTTAATTCGTCAGGAAGACCCCTCAATTAATTTTTTTTTTCTCAGATTCTATTTAGCCCACTGTGACATTTAATCACCTCATAAATGTTGACGAATCATTAATGAAAGGTTGCCAGTCCAGTGAGTCAGTGGTTGTAAATGTTAAGATTAAGAAAAAGTACATGGACATATACTCATTTCTGTCGTTACAGTGTGTATGGCAAAGAGTCTAATGAGATAAAGCAACTTTTAATTAGCTAGATTTGTCTTTACAGGCCACCAAGTAATTAAGCTCGGCTCCGATTCAAACACTTTGCGATCACTTTGGGAAAACATTTGAGTCAGTCAGCATTAAAATAGTTTGGAGCCCTGACTGGGCTTTGTACCGCCAATAGTAGACCTCAGTCGCGCTCATTCTACTGCAATAACCTTGGGGTTATATTGCTATCATTTATGCAGCTATGGTGTCAAAGTGTCAGATTTATGATCGCTGTATTCTCTGGACTTTAGTGTGGAACGTGCAGATTGTGTAATAAATTCAGTTAGTGCGTGTGTTTGGGTGTGGAAGTACAATGTTCAGCATAGATAGATAGATAGATAGATAGATAGATAGATAGATAGATAGAGCCCTCTTAATGTAATACACACACACACGCACGTGAATTCACATGGCTGTGCGACAGGAACCATCCCCAACTATCCCAGCACTGAGTCAGAACATTCTTGTCAGTTCAACTTAAGTTATATTTAGAACCAGAGTAACACACACATGCACACACTCAAGCTCTCTCTCTCTCTCTCTCACACACACACACATACACACACACACACACACACACACACTGAAATGACTAAACATCATGACCTATAAATACAAACAGCACATGGAGGTAGACAGACCCAAACAATGGCACATCAAGTCCAACAAAGTCAAACTCTGGTTGTGCCACAGTCACATTCCACTTCCACGCACCCACACACCCACACATTAAGATACTGACCTTGCCCCTCTTGTTCATAAGCAACTGATATGAATGAGATTATGACTGAGATTTATGAGGCCTACAATTTGGTTCAAAGGAGGATTGTTAGTCTGAGCGTGCAAGCTGCACGTCTTTGTGTGCGCAACACGTGCACACAAGCATACTATGAAATGTCACAGAGATAAAGCTGAACTCAGTTTGGAATCACCGATATTCAACCCACTCCTCCCGTACCTTTACATAAAGTTGGATTTGAGGCCCATCCTTGTCAGGCTCTGGCTTCTTCTCAGGTTCCTCCTTCTCAGAGGCTGATGAAGATGATGATGATGAAGATGAGGATCTGCGTGATGAGTCCCTCCTTTCCGGCTCCGGCTCTGGTGACCCCATCTCCCAGTTCAGCTCTTTGCTTTCCTCCTCCTCTATCTTCTCTTCCTCTTTTTCCTCTTCTTCTTTCTCCTCCTCCCTATTCCAGTCCTCCGATTCCTCTTCTTTTTTATCTTCAGCATGTGAGGAAGATGAGGACGCTGAGGAAGATGAGGAGGATGAGGAAGAGGAGGAACTGCCTCGCCTCTCTTCAGTGGGAGGGCGAGGTGGTGGGAGAGAAGGGGGAGCCGGTATTTGTTCTACAGCCCGTCCAGTGTTCTCATACTCTGCTGTCAGGTCAGAGGGCTGCTCGTATGGCGCTTCATAGGTCAGGTCGTACATACCTGACGACTGGTTCTCATAGGTTGACTCGGGGTTCTCGTACAGGGGATCCATTGTGGCTGAAGAGGTCAGAGGACGTCCTGAGATGGTGGAGCGTGGCAAGGTGCACAGCAGAGTGACTGTGATGCCAACAGTGCCTACCTTATCAAAAAGCACCCCAGGACTTTGGACAGGGAAGGCAGAGAGGTAATGCCAAGAGAGGACAGAGGTGATCCTTAAAGGAGAATACAGCTTCAATAGACATGACATATTATTCTTTTAAATGACCATCTTCAGTTGTTTTTCATCAAGATTGCATGCACTGCGTTGCAAACTCACTTTTGCTGCCTTTAATATCCCCCCACACACATGTGAGCAGGGACAGCTCTGAAAACATTATGTTGCATTCTTAGTAGTTTCAACAGCTGCAATTTTAGATTAGGGGACAAAAAATGGGCGGATTAGCTATGTGCAAAATCAAAAGGACTTATTGTGTTTGCCTGCCTGACAAATACTATGCAATATTGTGCTGCCATGTAATGCTGAGGGGTATTGTGTAGCAGCTGGTCATGCACTTCTAATTTAGACTCATTGACCACAATATCTTATTATTCATGGATGCATTACTGAAAGGCCCTGCCGGACACAGGCATAGGGGCCCAAGGTTTCAGAGGTTCTCCTTAGAAATTGAAAATGACCACACAAAAAGACCACAAAGAGATACAATGGAACTGCAGAAAGATATAAATAACTGCAAAAAGGGGAGAAACAACCAAAGGGAGACACAAAATGACCAGAAAAGACACAAAATTACCTCTAAAGATGCAAAATTACCTCAAAGACACACAAATCAGCCATAAAGAGACACAAAATGATTTTAAAGAGACACAAAACAACCACAAAAATACATAACACCACAAAACAAAACCAACAGAAAAGGAGAAGGGAAAAATCTACCACAAAATCAGACTGTCTTGCTCTGCCAATGTTTCATCTAGAGGTGTTTTTAAGTGATTTTTTCCTAGACTGGGGGTTAAATACGTGGAAATTCTACCCTTAATTCAACTTACTTTACACCTAAATAGTTACTTTTATTACAAAAGTACAACAGCTCTTAGAATTTTGCATTAAAAACATGGTACAATGAATATAAAAACTTGTGCAAGTCTACGCATTGTAGATCAGGCAAATTACGTCTGTATTTCCCGCCCCCCGACTCTTAACTGACTCCTGATTGGCTGCTTGCACTGCCAATTCAGTTAAAGTGTTCGTCGACCGTTACATCAAAGTGGCAATGACTAAAGCGGAAGTAAGCGGTTTATATGTCAAAGTAAGAGCTATACTTTTCTGAAACTTATCTATGAGATAATGTGTGTGTGACAATGGGTTTGTATTCATTATAAACTACTAGTTGAATTGTGATGTATATAGAAAATGAAACAAAAATATGTTATTTTATTTTACGGCCGGCGGTGTTTCAAAGAGGAATTTATTTTGAAAGGCGTTGCCGGCGTTTCATGGAGCTAATCTTAGCTAGCTCGACAACCTTCAACCGTTTGTGTATTTTGAGGAAGTCCGGTGATGCTGCTGCTACGAAAATAGACCGGGGGTGAAAGTTATTTAACGACACTGTACCTGGAGGACAACAGCCTGTCAGCCCCGTAACAGGTAACTGTAATAAACAGACTGCTAGCATTATGTGAACGCTGTAACATTAGCAAGCTAACATGCTATGCAGACGGCTAACGAGCTCCTCTGCTGAATGTGAAAATAAAATTCATTTTTATTGCGCGCTGTGTATCACCTATTCTTCGTTTGACTTCTGAATACGGGTAATTAATTATTAATGTAATTATTGGTGACATTTCTTATGCATTTTTCGTCAAGAGCGGGGACTTCCTGGTTGTGGTTTTTATTTGAGCTGGCTGTTAGAAGCATGTTTGATATATAACGTTAAATATTTAACAGGAAGTCAGCGACGTCACTGCATCATTTGCATAATGTTAAATTAACGTAATATAGCGACTGACAGTTTGCACCATTTCATTTCAGGCTCTTAAAGTCTTGAATGAATGAATGTGATGAAATAGACAGAGAAGGAGGAAGACTGATTCAGTGTCAACGTCCTCCAGTTATATCCAAGATGTGTTCGTTGTAATCAATCTAATTTCTTTACAGAAATTCAGTTTCATGCATCTTTGAGATCACAGCTTCCAGGGATGACCTCACTCCCT